ATTATTATGTTTTTCCATATTGTGTCATCCTGAACCCTTTTGTAAAATGCACGTTTTGTACGAACGTGTAGTGATACAGCAGGCGAAAGCATTATTTTATCATCCTTTAATCTCAATCTGTATGTCAGCATGTTACAAGACGCATTTGGTGCTTATGTAAGTTTGCAATTAAAGCTTACGGTGCATCTGCTTTAAGCCAGCCTTATCATGTAGTCTCTATAAGTAGAAAACGTCTTCCTAAAAATATTCTTAATAATTTCAATGGACATATAATTTAATACATAATGTAGGATTTATTTTGGGTTAGATCATGTAAATATGAATGTGTCGTTAAACCCGCCACCACTCGACACAGCCAATTAGTAAGGTTTTTCACGTAAACAAAACGTGCCAATTTGTTACTACTTCAGCACACCGATTGTGTGTTGGAGAGTAGACCCACGACATTGAAAAGTCGAGCTCAACGTTTCGCCGATTATTACAACCAGTCTCATCAGGCGACTGCTAGAATTGTGGAGAAATCCTTCCGTTTTAATGTATGACTGCTGCCCATTAGGAGTTGATCCGACTTATATTTCACGGAAATAAACGCTCGCGTCTTGTTTATGAATGAACCACTGTGTGCCACGCGTGTGTCAGAACGGACGTGCGCAGGCATTGTTGTCAGGCCAGCGAATCGCATGGAGGACTGAATGAAGGTGAAGTCATGACTTCTGTCAAACAGAATTCACAATGGATGAGCTCTTCTTCGTGAACTTTCGACAAATACAGGGGGTCATAAAGAGCACTTGTGAGATTGATGCACAGCCTTTGAATGCTGGACCTGTTTCCAGGATTGAGCCGTGTCTTTGGAAAACGAAGCGAGGTGCTAAGCACAGTCAGCTAGTGTAACTAGAGTACCTCTTGTCTTCAATAAAACACGTCTTATTTTTAGGTTATAGCCACCCAAACGATAGTACCGAATGCTTATAATTCGACATACTCTGTGTATGGTGGTTGAACATGACGTGATGGGAGTGGTGGCTAAGTGATTACGGCACTGGAATGTGAACCCGTTAACCTGCGTTCAACTTTGGTCCGTGGCTCGTATTATTGCCGAGTGATATCAGCACTGTTCTTGGGCTCCTCTCTTGAACAAACCTCTCTGACCTATACGATCATTCCTCTGATTTCCACGGTTGGCTACGTCCGGTGCGAAAGAAGTTCAACATACACACATACAATCCCCATGACTGGCACAGCATTGGGGAGGTCTTTGCCCAGTCGTGGATGGACTAAAGGGGGTTTATAAATCATCATTACTCATCATAACAGACAATGCATATATTTTTATTCTTGGTCCTTTCGGTAAAGTCACACGTAGAAGGGAAACAATAAAATAATAAAAATGAAACAATACAATTCTCACGATGTTTCGATTGCAACACAAGCAATCATCATCAGGTGTAAAAACCACAGCAAAAAAAATGTGAAGAAAAAATGTCTTGCTGTGGTTTTCACACCTGATGATGATTGCTTGTGTTACAATCGAAACGTCGTGAGAATTTAATTGTTTTATTTGTATTATTTTATTATTTCCCTTCTACGTGACTTTACTGAATGAACCAAGAATATGAATCCCTGCAGTCACGAAAGCTTTAAATCGAAATGCAGATATTATCAGAGCATGTTTGTTTGCACGTTTTGTCTCAAGTACGTGTGGTTAATGCAGACTTGATGTTTTGCAAAAGGTTTCTATTTGGTGTTTGAACATCTTCAGAAAGGGTAAAACATGTCTTATTGTTACGAGACCTCCTTTGCCAGTAACAAGACGCCTTTGGCGTCTTCTGGTCCAACACCAGTGGAGACTAGGCTCTAAGAAAAGCCGTCTCGGGTGTGGACAAATCAAATTCAAGGACAGTGCATATTATTATCAGAGTTGTCTCTTTTGTTTGCATTTTGACTGCTTGTGTTGTGGTTATTGCAAACATGATGCCTTGAATAAAGGTGTCAGTTTCTGTGCCAGTTAAAAGGGTAAAACCTATTACTATGTCTTATTGTTTCATCGTTTTGATACTGGCAAAAAAGGTCCCGTAGATATATTTAACAGCTTCATTGTTCTTTTTTTAAAGTTAAACGCATTGTATTGCTAGATAGTCACCCTTTTTATTATTTCGACCAGTGGATAATTTGCATTCGGATGACAAAATGACAACCGTGATGGGAATGTCATTGCTTTATACAAAAATGTAGAGGGCATAATGAGGGTCCGGCAGGCATTGTGACAGGTGCATTGTGACTCGGGTCTGGCTTCACAGACCTTTTAAATGGCAGGCACAGTCACCTGTCTGGCCATGTCCTCTTGCCAAATGTTTTATTGTGTCGTTTCAGTACTCGAACATTTCCAATGCCCATATATTTACTTAACCAGCCTACGCTGACCAACGTGGTGAAGCATGGTCAAACGACCCTCACGACTCGCACAGCGTGGGGATGCCTTCATTTAACAGTGGAGTGACAAAGGGCCGTCAGTTGTCATTAAATAACGGTAATTTAATAAACAAATATTCCTAACTTGAAAAGCTACATTTAGAATATTTGCAACTCTTTTTTTACTTGACTAATTTTGAAATCTTTACGCTCAAAGTTTACAAATTTAGTCAATCAGATTGATTTGGCAATCCACATCCGGACAAATATTCTCCTCATGGTGTGTCAGTCGTGGGGGTTGTTTGCCCATACTTCACCACGCTGGTCAGTGCTAGTTGTGAAGTGGGGTGGGAGGTGGGGGGGAGGTGCCATGAATGGTTCAGGTGTCACTCTCCACTGGCTGGTGATCGTAATCGGGTCGATGGGTTCACAACACAGGGCGCTGAACATGGCGACACCACTCCTGCCCCCTACAAAAGCTAAGTTAATTAATTCCAATGTCCGGATTTAAACCGTGTTGGGGCTCATTGAGACTTTTGAGTTTCATTCATGTTTTGGTGGAAAGTAGTTGTGAAAATATCACAGATGACCCTGATAGCAAAATAAGACCCCTAAACATATTTAATTGATACACTTTCACCAAGTGCCATTCTGTCGATTTCCCCATTCAGAAATGCATTGCGTCCCTTGCCCAGTGTCCCGCAATACCGCGTGGCACTGAGCCGGTCCATCGGTAGGGGCAGTGCACCGGGTCTCCCATAGCGCGCGGCGCTGCCAAGATCAGAACGCCACTCCTGGCGCGGAGGAAAGGACACCGTTTCATTCTTCTCCTTTGTCTCGCGAGTCACTCGCACGTCCAGTACGAATGCGACCAGTTTATGCTCGGCAGAAGGTTCTTTTAAATGCCCCGATGAGAGCACGTTTATCATTATTGTTTTGTTGCTGATGTGGCCTTTGGAATTTTTTGCGGCATTTAAAGGATCTTCACCCTGTCTTTTTTCGGGTGCTAAGTTGAAACTGAGTTGCCCTGCGGCAAGGCTCATGACAATGACCTAGCCTCGTGTTCTTCACTAACTTTCAGAGGGGGGCCACTTTCGCCGATAAGACATCATCAGTGTGAGTGCCGCCACACATTTGAAACCATTGGCGGTTTGACAGCAGCACGACGATGATGATGGGGGGGGTGATTCACATTTTTGTATTGTCGGGGTCCACAAATCAGGGGCCGCACTGTAGGCCACAAGGGGCCGCCAGTGGCCCGTGGGCCTTGCTATGGAGAAATCTTTTCCTAGCCTGTCGAGCGTGCAGTGTTAGTGTGATCTACTTCATGGGTGAAAGTGCGATGTGATGAAGCTCCCCAACACTTGGTGTGAAATGTTGGACATCGCCGAACAATGAGCTGTACAAACAGAAAACGCAAAATTACAAAAAACCTATGCAGTTGCATGGATCCACATGCTAGAAAGTATTTGTATGTGTAAAGGAGATACTGATGGTGATTTTACCACTCTCTGGTAAAATCATTATCTCCTCTTGCCCTGAAATTAACTTCCAAATATTAGCAGAAGTTCTTGCAGGGCAAGAGGTCAATGTGTTGTTTTTACAAGTCTTCCACAGGCAAATGGTTTGCAATATAAATTCATATTGTGTATTAATAAAAATGATCTCATGCTGGTTACGTTCTTTGTTTAAACCAAATCGGAGACGCATTTAATATAAAAGTATGATGCATTCGTGTGTTTTTTGTTGCCTGCATATTAATGTTTGGTGATTCAGCTTTTTGTCAGAAAATGCAATCGGGGAGACGGAGACGCACACGCTCATTGCAGGATTGATACAATTTCATTTCGAGAAACAGCCGTGTTGTCCATCAAATATTCATAAGCAAAACTGGTATTAATTTTTATCAAATGCTTTCCAGATGATTATTTTTTACACGTGTCATTTTTCCATATTGCCTTTCAATAAACGAGGCTGCAACCTGTCAGAAATGATAAGGCTAAGAGCCGCATGGCAGAGGCCTAAGCTAATCGCACGAAAACGCTTTTGATCTCGTGTTCTTAACAAATTAAATGTGCCAAAACGACAAACACGTTTTACTTTCCATTACAGCAGGCTTGATTGCTTTTGAAATACATTGTCGCGAGTTGACTAATTTTGGCGTGTGTTTAGCAGCATGGTATAACAGTGCAAAGAGGCACATGGTACCAATGAACACCGCATACCACATTCCGTACGCTCCGGATTATAAGTCTAACTTTGTATTTTAATGCAAAAGCTGGGAGTGTCTTATAATCCAGTGGGTATATGTGCGTGTTTAGTGTGGTGCGCCTAGCCTGGCACAAGTGCCGCGGTGATGTTCCCGCCACTTAGTGGCGAACGGCGGTTGTTTTTGTTGTTGTGCAGATTTGTATAACTATTGACACTGACCATAAGCTACAGAGCATCTTCTAATCCTGAGAATACGGTAACGACATGTAGGGCACTTAAAATATGTACCCATTTTGGCAGCCCCAGTGTGGAAATGTACGGAGCTGCTTGTCCCTTGTTCCTCTGAGCCATGGCATGTTTTTTTTTTTGTTTCGCCGCAGTGAGATCAACCGTTTGGATCTTGGCCTCATTGTGGAGGTATGGGACAAAGGACTCATCTGGGACACAATGGTTGGCACCTCGTGGATTCCTCTCAATGACATCCAGCACTCGAACGAGGCAAGCTCACCACCCGCACACGACACCTTTGGGAGCGCTGACGTGGTCCAGCGGTAGCGGGTTTGCCGTTTGTTGCAGAGGTCTGCTGTTCAACTCCAGCAGGCTGACCTGAGTAATACTGCAGTGCGCATTGATCATAAATACTGCGTGCCGTCGACTTCACAGGTGACGTTAAGCACCCCTTGGCATCTTTCGCAAGAGAAGACCATTCTGTGCCGGTGTCAAGGACCAAATTTGCCAATTTTGAAATATGATCTGCAAAATTACTCAATTACTTAACTGGGATTACACATGGCAAAAACATTGCCCGTGACTGCGAAACTTGACAATCAATGTGTTTTCTTGGGATAAACAACCACAGGAATAATAGAAGAAGAATCTGCCATCTGTGTTCTGAATTGAATGGAGTGTGCTCTGATATGGGTGGTGACACGATGGCTGTTCTTGTGTGGGCTTGCCGTGGCATGGCAGGAGGGCCCTGGAGAATGGCAAACCCTCGACGCCGAAGTCCTCATGAAGGAAGATGAAATATGTGGCACCAAGACCCCCACGCCGCACCATATCCTGCTCGACTCGCGCTTCGAGCTGCCCTTTGGTGAGACGGGTTCATCATGATAATATTTTGTTTTTGATAGTAAGTAAGTATGTTGATATTTTGATTTAAAGCTTTCGTGACTGTAGGGATTCATATTCTTGGTTCTTTCGGTAAAGTTACGTAGAAGGGAAACAATAAAATAATGAAAAAAATCTTGCTGTGGTTTTCACACCTGATGATGATTGCTTGTGTTGCAGTCGAAACGTCGTGAGAATTTGATTGTTTTATATATATTTTATTTTATTGTTTCCCTTCTACGTGACTTTACCGAAAGAACCAAGAATAAGTATGTTGATAGTTTGTATGCATGTGTGTTTATAGTGTCCAGGGCGTCTTGTGACTTGATGCGTTTATCACTAAATCTAATCGATTCTAAAAACGGTTACCAGGTTACAGTTCACCCAGCAGTTGCTTGACAAAGGTCTGCAAATCATTGTATGATTTATCCATGATGAATCCCCGGGATGCCCCTCCATTCGCGTCTCGAGTTAAATTCCGAGTGTTTGAGCGGTGGCTGCCGTCGCTTGTGTGCTGCAGACATCCCAGAGGAGGAGGCAAAGTACTGGACCACAAAGCTCGAGCAACTCAACGTCTTGCAGGATCACGACGAGGTATTGAAACTCTAAATAAAAAAAGAAACCTAAAATGTAATAGATAATAACATTTTCTAGGCCCCATGCAGGAACTGATCGTTCGAGATCCCAATAGGAAGTGAACTGCATTTATTCCAAATGCACAAAGAGTTAACTTTTTCACCTCACCTCATCCTTCAAAGGGCCTAACACGTTTCGTTCTATTTATTTATTTCATTATTGAACTAAACGGTTTTTTTGTTCGATGATTGGGTGGTGATTATGAGCTCATAACTCACAATCATAAGTTTGGAAATTAAAATCGCAGTGTTGAATTGACTTCGTCCCATCATCCACTCAGAGTCAATATCGTGGGAAATCAACATTTTGGTTGATTTGTTTAAAGACTGGTCCCTTCCATTAGGAATGGGGAATTTCCACCACTTATTAAAGACTGCCAACCGATGAGAATCTCCCCCCCGCCCCCCACACACGTTTGAGTATGATGAGACACACTGGGTACCTTGTCCGTGTCACTAACAGGACCGACCACGGTTGTAATGTGCTTTCAATGTGTCATAAATTGCTCGCTGCGTTGTGTTTCCTGTGCACCAGAGGGCTTGATAATGGTCCTTTGTGTGCGTTTGTTAATGTGTCTGCATGTTAGTAAACGCTCTCATATGCTTTTTCAGCATTTCTCTTCATTTGGTATAACAATCTAAACACACAGCTAACAACTTGCAATGCCCGAAACTATTAAAATATTTGACACATCTGAGTTACTGAAAAAACTATTCATAAACATTTAGAAGGCATCGTTTATGCACACGTGCACACTTCCAATTTGAGAATGGTCAAGGTGGTCATTGTTTGGAATGCTGTTACCTTTGGCTATTCACTGTCTACCTTTAAAGCCAAGATGGTATAAATTATCAGAAATTGGCAAGATTGATCTTTGTCTTTTGTTTTTGTTACTGCTGTGCCCATCCACCACGGATCTCACTTGTAAAAGCCGGGCAACTGGTTAAACGGGATCATCGGTGTAACAAATCAAATGAAACTCCCAACTCAATTTGGCTATAAATGCGCCACAAAAGTAATTTCGTAGGCGATTTTGCTTGATGCAATGATGGTTTATTTGATAATACTTTTCTGCCTACATTGGATATTAAAACGGCTTTCCGAGAATCCATTGAGGGAATTGAAGGTGTCTTCATGTGTGGATGTGAGCACCGTGTGTGCGTCATCGTTGGCAATTCCCGCTCGCATTGTCTTGCGGTCGGCTCACGAGGGAGTTAAACGTTACTCCAAGATGAAATCGCGCTCACATTTTACCAGAGTGAATTATATTGCCAATCGTGGCAAAAAAATTAACATTCATTCTCTGGAGGAACATTTCTAAAATTACCACACACACAATTCAATGCAATGCAACTGCATCTTTATAGAGTTCATACAGAATTTGCACCGGAGAGAGTGGTGTAACATGTATAAGGAGATGAATGAAAGGACACTGAGTTATGCAGATATTTTTCAGAAGTGACCTGATCACAAAGGATAGCGCAACGAAGTGGCTTGTCATCACGTGGAAATTTATAGCAGCCAAATACTCTAAAAGCACGTTTCTAAATGTGGAATGAAAAACCGGAGGACCTGGAGAAAAATCCACACGACCACGGGGAGAACATGCCAACTCCAAATACACAGGCATCGTCAGGGTCAGGATCGCACTTACGACCTCCTGTATGTCAGGCGAGCTAGTTAACATCTCGCCGCTATGGCACGCCAGGACAAAGCGCGTCGAAGACGACGAGGGTGAAGCTGAGCAGAAGGAGGTCTCGAGATGGTCAAGGGGGAGGGAGTTCCGTGGACCCGGGCACAGCTGAGCAGGAGGGAGCCAGTGGCCCCGCGGGAGTGGCTCGCCGCTTGTTGCAGAAGTTCACGGTTCTAATCCAGCGGCCACCCTGGTCATCGCTGCGGCGTGCTTTACGGCGGATGCGAAAGATCCCGTGACGTAATTTTGCAAAGGTTGGCCAACATGCGCCGGCGTCATGGTCCAAAGTTGCCAAATTTTAAATATAACACGCAAATTTAAAAATTGGAATCCACAAAGCGACCATCGACCACTACTGCTAACACTTGGCAGGACCCTAATCAGAAAGAGGCTTGAGACTCGGTGAGGCTTTCCTGGGTAAACAAGCTCAGTAATACTAATACAAAGACTAAACACCAACACCTCTGAACCAGCCACACATATGAGATTGTAAACAAGTGCACTAAAAATCGAATAAAAAGGTTGATTAGGAGTATGGACAGGAGGCGTTGGTTGCTGCAATGGGAGGGAGGGGGGAGGTTGATTAGGGAGGTGGTATTCGGCGGGAACGAGGCCGAGGAGGATCTTGGCGATGATGATGACGAGACAGTTGTGTTACCACGCCTCGGTACCATTGGGAGCTCGTACATGGAGTCAAGTTAATTTCACTTTTGGTTACATATGTGTGTGGCACCTTTCTAGCATAAATCTCCCACTCAAAGCGCCATCGTCGCATTAAAACTCAACCTCAACGTTAAATTTGAGGGATAATAAACGCTGGTTATTATTGCCGTCGGCCATGTGGATTTGATCGTGGGCACGGGTGCAGACGTGTGGTCACGTGCATCATGCCTGAAGGATCATGCTTCCCACAATATATATATATTTTTAACACATCTTATTCTCTTCTGCTTTTAACTCTTATTCAAGTCTGGGGGATCATGTCACCTGTTGTATATTTTTCATGACGAGTGCAATTACTGTGATATAATTTAATACGCAAGTCATAACCTCGTGTATTTTAGCTTCGAAATTAACAGAGGCGTAATTAACATGTTTAATACTTTCTGATAACAACAGGACGTGACATAAAATGAAACAAGACCATTAGTGGGTCGTTGCACATTAAATTACGTGGGGCGTGATTCACATCCATTTAACCGACAGATGCTGAGCACCAAATTCTCAGCCTCAATTTGCAGCAGCCGGTAACTCAAATGGCCCTTATGTGCATTACCCGCCAGATAATCACGTACGGGAAATCACAGCAAAGCTGCAGGGAAGGCAAGGAAAGTGAAAGGAGATAAACAACTGACGCACGTGCCAGAAACCCGGTGACATCAAGGCCAGCCTCAATGCGTTGTTGATCGTAGCTGCAAAGCAATGCTCTGCACCGATTAACTCGCGATGCAAATACATTATAAGCAGTAGAGCTGGACCACCCCCCCCACCCACCATTTATTTAAGTGATTGAGTTATTCTGTCGATTGTCGGTTCTATTACTCGATTAATCGGATAACATGAAAAGCGTAAAATAAAGCCTCATCTATTCCCGCGCATGCCCCTTGACGGGGGCGGTGATGGGTGATGTCATCGGTTTCATCGGCTGCACCATGCTGGCCGTAGCTCGCTGGGGGTTTCCCACCTTCAGGAGACAGGATGTGGGGGCGGCAGCAGCCATTTAACAAAAATGACCCGCGTAATAGACCACAAAAAAATCATTCGCCAAGTGATCGTCCCAGCACAACTGGCATCCCACGGCGCCTGCTTCCCTTTGCTGGTAGCGCAAGGAGTGGCACAGCAGAGCCTCCTCCACAGCTACAACAACGCTCTCACTCAGGCGTGGCACCATGGCCCAGACAGCAGTGGTTTTCAGATAGAAAAAAGTTTGCAATGAAAGATGATATCAGGAATCAAAGATATTAAACCATGTTGAATACAACAAAGTAAAAATAATGAGCATATACCAAGTACAGATGGAACGTTGGGCGAACGCTGGCCAACACTGGCCCAACGGTTCCAACCACATGCCAACGCTGACCCAATGTTGCATGTTTACTTGGTACAGCCATGAAGCCACGTTCTGTATTTTCAAACATTCTGTTATTTTTGCTTGTTTATTTAAAATGACTTATCTATTGTACATCACCAAAGAACGATCTGTGCACTAAACCTTACAATGTTCAATCGGTTAACATTCCAACGTTCAAAGTTGATGCTCGATGGGAAGGGTACGACGATTGTAGATCCAAGCGTTGCGGTGCATGGCGTACGACAAATGAAATGTGCGTTGTCTTTGTGCGACAGTACAACTTCCAAGAGGCGGTGGAGAAGAAGCCCCTTCCTACCACAAATCTGCAATGTTGTAAGTTTTCACTCTCTGCTCGTTTTTCCTCTGACCGTGTGTGAGACTAAACGTGCGAGTGAGACGTATACAATCCACGAATTTGTTTTGCTTGATTCTCATTTCCACGCTACGATCGTCCCCGCTTAAACCTTTACTTTGCTGCATACCTCTTATGGCTAAGACTTGCTTCAGTCTCTTGTCGACTTTTTCACTTCTCTAGAACCTTTTTATTTCAGCCTCTGAAACCACAGGTATATGAAAAATTTACGGCTACAAATTAAATTAATCTTACGCACATTAGTTTGTACATCAGTTGACTTAGGTGTGCTATTTTAAAATTAATCTACTTTGTCTACAATTTTCAAATACAACCATTGCATGAGTGCTTGAATTTGTGCTACGATGCATACCAAATAAAAAATTCGGCCTGCTTAATTGAATGAGGCATTGATGCCAACCGCATAACGTTCCACATTCTGTGCAGTGCAAAAATAACACCAGTTAATAAGTGATGTTTTTAATGATGTGTGGATTTTTTTTCTTTGACAGTATCCATTAGTAAGTTGTAAAATCCGCCAGAGGGCAGCACATCCCCTGCCACCTGCCACTAAGCCATTGGGGCTTGATTGTGGGGTTTATCTTTTTGCAGGTGCGTTTAAGTGCCATTCGTGTGCGTGTGTTCTCGAGTTCAATTTTTGTTACTTTTAACGCATGGCTGCCTTTGTGTATATATGGAAATTCATGTGCCTGTGGGTGTGTGTAAACCTGTAGCTGCCCCTTGTTTGATGGCACCTGTTCTGCACTTAAGTTGGACATTTGAATCTGGTTACTATCCAATTTGGAGTTGAAGGCTGGCAACGTATCATTATTACGTGCGATGTCACTATTTGGGGATTAAAATCTCCCAGGGTTTTTTTTCACTGAATGGCTCATCTGCTCATTTCAGAATGAAACGAGGCTCAGCGCCAGTGCTTCGTGAAAAATTAAGATATTTTATACTGGACTCGCGCTGAATATCTCACCACATATCCTAAATTGCCTCTTGGGATGGTGCATTTTTAAAATGATAGCCATAATGCATTGTCGATCGCCTAGAATTAGCAATTTTCTGTCGTCACTACATGTCCATTTAATGGAAAATACTTTGATAAAATGACAGACCTTGTGGCGTGGAGGTGACGCATGCTTTCGGAGTACTCACTCTGTCATGATAAACTGATACAATCTTTCACGTTTTATATTCTGTCAGCTGAAATGGGGAGGAAAATGAGCCTTTCGGTGCATTTACCCATGAAAACGAAATGATGGCGGTGGTGGGGGATTGTGTTTGTGCATCGGCACACTCCATTGGTTAATATCTGGTGGCACTGGGGGAAAAAAAAGCACTTGCCCTACATTTACGTCAAATGTAAAATAGCGGACAATATAGATACGTTATTTAATTTAGTTTTTTTCCTATAATGTTTTGTAAATTTTAAAAACCACACAGCAATCTTTTAGCATAAACGTTCTAGCTGGTTGTAATTAAACTGTTACATCATTAAATTAGTATGGAAAAAAAACACCTGAGTAGAAATATTAATGACTTGAGAATGTTTATATGTAATAGTAAGGAAATTGAAAAGATATGTTTTTAATGATGATGTAAATGTTGGTTAAAGATCTTACTAGGAGCTTTCTCTGAAACACAGTCGTCTTATTTCTCATACACAACTTTCATGTCTTGCTTTCTAACCATGTTACTTCTATAAATCCCAAGCGACATTAACAAGGCCGATGGAAAACTGTGGAAGCACCACGTTTTAACCCACCTGTTCATTTTGGGAGCAAGAAAACCGTTGTGGCCGCACTTGTGTTCAATGTGTTGGAAATCATCATGAGCATTCCGCTCCAGTCTGGCTCCCAAAATGTATTGCGGTTTTCTAAACAAAAAGTTCAGTGCTCCTCCGTGTTCCATTTTTGTCTGGCCTGTAGCCATCGCCTGATGTTAGTCTCGCTTCTCCTTGTCTGTCTTTCCTCCCCTATTTTTGCGCACCTTGCATCTACGCAGGCAACTGGACCTATTTCGGATGGGGTGACCAACAAAGTATGTAACGGTTTCCTCATTTAGATCTGTCCCGTTTGGTTCGTAAATATTGGCGTGACTATTTAGCAAAGGTTTATTTATTGTGCCTTTACAATGCAAACTGTCATGCCTGTAACAGGACAAGGCACTGTACAATTTCTTGCATATGGAAATTTTGTGTACATTATAAGATGTATTTTGTCATAATTAATGGACAGAATATACCAGTTAGCTGAGCGACAGAATGGTGCAGTGGTAGCACTTGTGCCTCAACAAAAAAAAGGCGTGGATTTGATTCCCGACTCGGGCGCCTTTCAGAGTGAAGTTTGCATGTTCTCCCCCTGTTCTGCCTGGCTTTCCTTGGGGGGTCTCCGGTTTCCTCACCATAGGTAAAATAAAACCCATAGAAGGTTACTGGCATTGGCCAAACATCCCATTGCCAATATAATTACTTGCAAATTACTCGGTTGGGATTAATCATAGCAACATGGCTCCTTACCGTGAGAACTTGGCAAGACCCTCCTGAGTCTTGAGACTCAGTGAGGCTTCCCTGGGTAAACAAGCATCATAACAAATGATACGAATGATGCTCACATGATAATTGGACTTAAATTGACCTGCACTGTTGTGAGAAATATTGAGACGTTTAATTGTTTTGATAACATAGGATCAGTCTGAATGTGCTGGAAGCATCCGTGTTAGACTGTGATGTTCAATCTCACAGTTTCAGTCGTAATTTCTCAACCCATTTGAAGTGATCGACAGCAAGCAGACATAACTTAAATCAATACCAATATTCCTTCTGCTACCACCGATCACCATGAAGAGCCACTGGTGTCATCATTAATATTCTCAGGCATGTCAAGAATGATACGTTTTCACGTATCATTCGTGGCTGAGGGTCTTGTCTTTGACATGTCCAGTATAACAAAGGATGCACCAGTCCTCGTGTCACCAAGATACATAATCCACTTAGGAAACGACAGAGGAATGCTGCAGAAGGTAAGTTGGGAAATGCGTGAACGATGAATGGGAGAAAGATTTTTTAACTGTCCTGTCTTAATATCCAATGGCAACACAGACCGGTATTCTAAGACTATCAGGAATTATGATCTGTAAAGCCAGAAGGTTTGTGAGATTAAATCCAAATTGGGGGTTGACTCAGCTTATTATTCCTGTGTGAAAGATTAACCAGTATGAGTGTGTGCGAAGTCAACTGTAAAAATATCAGATTGCCAGGAAATATATATTTATCAGTTTGACATTTTGTAGAGATATCGGCCTCGCGTAATGTAAAGTGTGACGGGAGCGGTAGCATAGCGGTTAGCGCGCTGCGCTACGAACCCAGCGACCCAAGTTAAATTCCCGCTCGCAACATCGGTGATGATTCTCAGTCCTGGGCCCTCCTGCAAGTCGCTTCAGTCTCGACTGAGTACCTGGTGTGATGTGTGAAACATCTTCACGAGGGAGACGAAGACAGCCTGGCGCGGTGCTGGTCACCAGCCCTACTCGTTAACAGCACTTGCCCCTACAGTCTATTGAGACTATATAGGGGATCTTTGCCTTTTCCCCTACTGTGTAAAAATAATTTTAAAAGGCCAATTGGAAAGCTTTAACATATCCGAATGGATTTTTCATCTCAAGACATAATGCCAGTCGTACAATTGAAATAAGGAGAAGGGGGGTGGAAGACAAACGTTTTAGATTTACATAACGGGCATACATTTGAATACAGCAGTTTTCACTTCGGTGGCTACCTGATTTGTATGGAAGTGGAACCAACTGTTGCATTGCATAACAGATTATAGAAGTGTCCACAAAGCATTGTTTTTTATTCTGTTAACATTTTTGTTAATCCATTAATGATTTTCTCTAGATTACTAACCATTTCCTTACATAAATAGCATTTCAAAGCACAATGGTGTTTGCTTTTCCTGAAACTGTCGAAGGGTAATTGCACGTGAGGATAGTCCTGTTCATGAAAACATGAGGGACATTTTCATTCGTCATCTGCAAACCAACAATTATGATGCGAGTCATTTCCTATTTGGATGCTAAGGCTATGATAATTTACAAAGACAATGTAATCATAACCACAGGGTTCACAGAGGTATTCATGGATGTGTCATTTCCTCTGCGGATATTTTAGAAGTTCCTTTTACAGATAATGTTTTAAGTATAAATCTAAATGGTTAACATTGTAGAATACATTTTTCAATATTTTTTTTATTTGATGACCCTCTAGCTTTGGACATTGAGCTCAGACAGGTTAGAATTGAACCACTGTGGCAGCGTTCGGAGTTTAATTTCCAGTCCATGTAGCCCATAAACCCTTCTGGGGTTCATGAAATAATTGAGAAAGTGAGCAGTGGTAATCCATTTGATGGACTAGTCCTCATCATATGGAATTTCCACCATTGGTTTAGGAAAGGTGACGAGCGCCTAAATTCTCACTTGATGTTAGGAACGGTGGATTTCGATTAGATCAGGTGTATCTCCTGCCAGTGTTAATCTGAGTGAATGCACTGAGTATATGTGTTTTTTATTAAGAATAAATAAAGTTCATATCCATGGTGTAATGTGTTAATGCAATCCAACAGAGCCACATCATTTCAGGGGGGAGGGAAAGCCACGTTTTGTGGTGTTACAAGCTTTCCAACAACCGTAGATTATGAATTAATCCTCACTCTACACAGTCCAGTAATTTGTATTCTAGCATTGGTTCTGACAAGCAGCCCACAACCCACTTACATCCCTTGAATACATCGGCCAATGGCAGTGACCAGTCAGTGTTATGATTCACAAAATATAAGTTCGGTATCCGTAGGCTCAGCGACTTCAGTTTGCCATAACTGCTCAGAATTTGCGATAGCTTATCTCTCCAAACACACGTCTGCTGAAAGTATACCAAAACAAACATCAAGAGGTCCACCCCTATATGTCAAGCTGTGTTCTATTTAAATTACAATGCATCAATCTTCTGTTCAAATAGTCACATATTTGCCCGAAGTAGAATGAAACTAGCTCCACCTTTCAGAAGAAACTCTTTGTTACACAATCTTCCTTGAGGCTCATTTGCCTCATTTTGGTCGCACACAAGATTCAAAGCTACACGTTCTCTTGTGTGGTCACGTTTCCCTGTGTGGTCACGTTTATCGCAAGTCATTTTGACGTGCCCATTCGTTTCTTATTCCTTGAACTTGGTGCCTACCTCCGTGCGCTCTATTGGTTTATGCTCGTTTGGGGAGTGCCTGGTCCGGTGTGTAAACACGCGGGGGACCCGTGTCTCTGCTCCGTCCGCTGTCCACATTGCGTGCCCATTCCCCCCCCCACCACCACCCCCCCCCAACCACTGTCCGCAGCGCTGGACGACCCAGACAGCGCGGTGGACGACCGCGACAGCGACTACCGGAGCGAGACGAGCAACAGCATCCCCCCGCAGTACCACAGCACATCGCAGCCCAACGCGTCGGCGCACCAGTACCCGGCGCACCAGCGCGGCCGCCAGACGGCACACACTCCCACGTCGCCCCTCGACACCCGGGCCGACGGGGGATACTCGGACCACCGCGAGCTCAGGTGCGGCACAATCTCCGCGCATGGGGGGGGCGGGGGGCGGGGGCTGGGGGGCGCAACAGCCCTGTCGCTCACTCTCTGCGTGCGTGCGTCTGTTTACAAAGTGAAGGCAGAGATTCCCCCGTATGGTATTTATGGGACTGTTGGTGTTAGTCGGAATCATAATAATTTATTTATACCACAGGAGGAATCCAATGAGCGATAAAGCTCTGATTCACAGATGTCCCGTAGGGGCGGGTGACAACATTACAACAACAAACAGTACAGAAACATGGGAGTAGTGCAAAGTACAAGGAAGGTGAACAAGTCACCCAAACACGTTCAAATAAAACGAATCCATCCCCTTTCTACCAGGCAAAGCCGACTGAGCTATGAACTTAATTTTCAGAAGCGACCTGGCTACCACAAATGATAGCTCAACAAAGTGAACAATCTTTTGGACACTTATAGCATCAAAATAATCTAAATTATCTCAACGCATGTTTCTAAACGTGGAGTACCACAGCACGTCACGGCTTTGTTAGCGAGCACCTGTTAAGATTGATAAGGCGTACGAGGCAGTGGCAAGGCGAGCAACACGACCAGCCGTCTTTGTCTCCCGCAGTGCCCATGTTTATACACTGCACTCTTTACTCGTTCAAGGCAGAGTCATCTATGGGAGACGCAGTTTTGTAGTGCATTGCAAACTGTGTTTGATTCCTGAGACAGAAAAAAATATATTCACAACATGCCACTGGTATTGGCCAAATATGCCAGTGCTGAAACGTTACCGGCGAATGACACAATTGGGATGACCCCCCCCCCCCCACGACAGCAGCATCGCCTCCTACTGCCTCGCAGATGCCTCCGTTAAAAAGCCTCAGTGCAGCTTTCCTGGGTGAACAAGTGTAACGACAATAATAATAATACAAATGCCATATTCACGTTCTCCATTCCTAATTTGAATCGCCCCACTATCGTGTATCAAAAAACAGACGATAATTTTCTTTGAGTGATAACAAAGTAGTGACGTTGACATACGTCAAATATTCTCATTTGTAAATGAAGTTCAGAAACTGTAGACAACGTTGTTTTTTCACATGGTAAAACATAAATGTATCATCAAAGTGAAACTTGTCTGATTTTACACTGTGTGATTTTACATTGCGCAATATTTGAATCATCTTTTTAACATGCAAAGTGTAAAAAAAAGACTCGCCATCCAGGTTCGAACACTTTCTTCACACTTCTATTAACTCGTTTAGCCAGCCCCATTGATGATGTAGTTTATCATCCACATTAGCGCTCTTCTTCTCCAGAATGTGTTGCAGTGATTGAGAAAATGCTCATGATTACCATTATTATCAAGGGTATGGATGGCAAAACAAAATTCGTTTTTTAAAGAAGATTTTGGATTGCATTTATATATTTTTTTTACATATTAGCTGATGTTTTAATATGCTTTGTGATGTTATTTTAATTAGCTCTCACCATTGCAGGATATACAGACATCACGTAGACCATTGCAATTAGAATTCCGACTTAAGGACATTATAAAACAATTTGCAACATACACAGCGAATTAAGTCCACAAGCAATTTGAGCAATTGGATGGAACTGGGAGTATCTAATGAAAGTTCGTAAATAACATCACGGATGGAGCTAAATGTAAAGAAGGCCATGCAAAGACGTCTTGGATAAAGGCCATGGGCACATACAAAGAGAGTGTAAACACTCTACGGGGTTAGCACGTTTTACGGACGGGATGTTCAGAGTGTTCAGAATGTGCAAGTTTGTAAATACAAGGACAAAATAAACATTTCGTGTAAGGGCCTAAAATAAGCTAAACAGATTAATCTTGCAAGCGTAACGTATAAAACACACACGTGTGTGTGTGTGTGTGGGTTTAGCGGTAGTATAGCATTTCGCGTTTTGTGCTACATAGCAAGCAACCCAAATTTGCTTCCCATTCACGTCCAACACCAGTGACGATTATCTGAACCAGCTCTGGGCCTCGCGTAGGTCGACTCAGCCTCAAATTAGTACCTAGTTAGGTGTGTAAACATCGCCACTCAGGAGAAAAAGGCGGCCAGGTGTGGTGCTGGCTACCCACCCCCTCGTGTGCCGTGCCGGCCTTCATAGGTGCACGCTAACAGCACTTGCCCCAATAGTCTGTTAAGGCTTTACGAGGGATCTTTGTATTTGTCTTTGTGCCAAAGCCAAAAAAAAACAAATAATAATTTGGACAGATATACATCCATGCACCCTACCTAGCAGACGTCAAACATTCCATACTATGTAAATATTTTAAAATGTAACAAAACTGCTGACATGATCTGCATTACAATTATGTTGTCCTGTCCATATATTCCATGCATATCTGATAAGTATATATTATATCTAATCTAAAGCCTTAAAATTACATTGCTTTGTGAAATTGGAAGAAGAAAATGCTCCCAAATCAAAAATGCGGTATTAAAAATCGGATTTTGGCAAAGATGCGGCATGATTGGTAAATGGCATGCATTGCACCCAGAGGCAATTTGACATGGACCTTATTTATTTATTTAGTTCATATCAGTGAATCCTGCCACATGTTAGTGCACTGTTACATGTGGACCTGCTCTCACGCTCTTGTCTCACGCACGTGTCATGGTACTGTGGTTTGGAATTGCCAACATTCTACACGGGTATGTGCTTTACGATAGTAGAACAGGATCCATTGTTTGTCACTCTTTCTCTAGAATTTAACGTCTAAAATATTTCAGGAAATGAAACTAGTTCCCTTTTTTTATTAAGTAAAAATGCTCAATTAGAGATACAAAATCTTATTTTACAAAATCCAATTCGTTACGATTAGTACTGCGAATGTTAAGTAAGATACACTGAAATAATTGCTTGGAGATAGATAATCTATATTATAACCTGCCTCATTATAGAATGGATAATTAAAAAATTATTGTATAATAAGCACTCATATCTTATCAAAATATTGTTACACCAACAAAATTGTTGATATACTCTCCAGGTCATTCCGAAAATTACGATGAAACATCATCAAAATAATAACAATGCAGGCTGATATTGTCATTTTATAAATTATAAGACAAAAAAATAGACCTGCATGCCATAAACAGAAAGGTACTGCCGTGTGGCATGATGGTTGGACTCGCAAGGCAGAGGTAATCGGTTTTATCCTCATTTGTACAATGGGGCAAGTTTCTTACATTCCCTCTCCTTTGTCCACCCAGCAGTATAAACGGGATACAGCGTAGCTTATCGGCCTGTCGCGTGTGGTGGGGTAAAGTGTGGGTGCAAGAGTCCACCAATTTGCAAGAGTCCACCAATTTGCAAGAGTCCACCAAATTACCCTGTCAAGGGGGCACTCTGGAACGCCCTCAAGCGGAGGCCCTTACGCCAGCAGTGGCGTGAGCAGGAAGTTGTCGGGCTGCACCTTTGCCTTCAGCTGTAAACACACACGCCGGCTTGGGTCAACGCCGTTGATGCCAGAACACCTCGCTTCTGTCAGATCCTGTAAATGTTGCGCGGTTGACTTTCAAGCTCCGAGGTTTTTTTTCCTTAAATTATCCCACCATGTGGCTCTAGGGGCCTTTCTCTTTGCCACTCCAAAAGATAGATGGCTTTCATGTTGACACGTGGAACATAACATTTAATTAATATCCCAGAGTGCTCCATTGCAGCACTCGTTGACGTGTTAAATAATAGTTTTAATCAATCTCCTCTCTGTAAAAATACACGAGGCACAAACTCTCATAAATGGCTCCTGCATCATTCTCCTGTGTGTGGTGTGTGCCCTCCTCACACGCGGGACTTGGATATGCTTTACTTTTAAGATATTCCTTCCCCAGACAGACTTCAGTCGAATATTGCATACACTACTCGGGCAATATAAATACAAGTAGTCTTAGTTGCATCTCACTTTAACATGTACCCAAAATTTAGTTTTTGTATTTCGTTTGTTAAATTGAGTTGGGTTTTTTTGTTTATGTCTTGTAATTGGTTTGTTTATTGCACTTTTCTTGTGATCTAGGTGTCCCTTGCCAAAGAGATTCTTAGCGCCAACGACCTCTCTGCTCGTTTCCTGGTTTTAAATGCAGCTCTTTGTGTAATTGTTCAAATGTATGCAAGATTACTGTGCTGCGTAATGACTACGGTCTGCTGTGTTATTAGTAAGCCATTTAATTTTGTAGGGAGCAGTGACGCAGTGGTTAATGCACTGTGCTATGAACCTAGTGATCCGAATTACATTTTTGCCCATGGCTAGCACCAGCGGTGAGGGACATCTGAACCAGACCTGGTTCTCCCTATTACGCTTAGCAGTGCGGTGAAATACGATCAATCAACCCCATGACCCATACAGCATGGAGAGCTCTTCATCCAGCACTCGATTGACTAAGGACTGTAAATTGTTATGCTTTGTTCATATACAATGTATCATTTTCAGTTTTATTCCAGTTGCGACATTTTTTTTTTACACTTAACACATTTGCTTAAATTAACATCGAGTTTAAAAATCATGCTCTTCAGGTCAATCCTATTATTTCGATTTAGTGACGTGTGCTAGAGGGTGACGTCGCCCTCTCGCATTGGATAACCCACCTGTCATGAGTTATATTTCTGTTCGATGTATCACAGCAAGCACGAGGTGACCTCGCTTGTTTGTGTCTGTTGGTAATTCATTCGCCAAGAAGGTGCTCCGCATGTCACCGTAGGCATGGCCCATGTGACACGGGGTGGCCATGTGGAGGAAAATATCAAGCAGACACAGCAGCAGCTCCTTGATGCAATGTGGAAATGTAGTCATGTTTTAGGGTCAAAGTTGTGACGTAGTTTCTTTTTAATGTCCGTCTTATAACTCGCGCATGTGAATCCTCACCATTCAATAATAATCGGAACAATTATACATGGAGCCCGTACATAACAAGTATTAAGAGTTGAGAATACGGAGCCTACACAAACAGCCTTCGGGAGGCAGGATGCCAGGGCGGCCTCCATTTTTTGTAAGTGGCCTGAGTAATCCAGAAGTACTCAATCTTAATTTTGTGTTTATTATACATTCCTAAATCATCTAATCTTCCCAAATAGATGTGAGATCACATCGAAGAGTGACTCTGAAAGGTGACACCATAGCACTTACTTTCAGTGTCACTTCAGTTCTTTTTTTGCAAAACCATTTAACAGATGTAGCATTTACATACACAGCGATTTACACGTGTCCATTATGATTGCTAGCCTGCACGGCCAGGCTTTCCTGCATAGGGGGCGTGCTGACAAAATAGATCGCGGATGTTTCTGCGGTCGCCGGCAAACGAGCCGAGATCAAAGGGATCACTTTCAAAATTAACATTTGAAACGCTCGTTACTCTAGTGACAGAAGTCCAGAATTCATGTGAGGCACCTTTGGATTTTAGTTATTTTTTTCTACAATGTTTCCTAACCTCGTCTCTCATTCTCCCCATTCCCCCCTCCCAACCTAACGTGTGTCCACAGCTGTGATAGCATAGAGTCCGCTACAAATGGCCATAGTGATCTAGAGTCTGCATCTGGGTCTAGCCGGCTAACGAGCCGGCAGTACTCCGTCGAGAGCAGGCAGTCTGTAGATCTTTCCGATAGGTGGGTTTTGTCGAAGGTCTTCGTCTTGGTGGGCTATCAGTGTCGTGCCATTTGACGCTCTTCTCCAGCACGCCTTTGTCCATGATCAGTGCTTTCTGCTTGAGTCCAATGCTGCTGGAAGCTGTACCCAAAGGTGATTTAGCGAAGACAAAATCTAGACGACCATTCGTGGGTTTGTGGAATCATTAAAGCTCGAGTACCATTCTGTACTGCACGTGAAGCCTCGTACAGCGATGCCTCGTGACAAATTGGTCCAAATATACGGGTGGCTTATTTTATGGTTATGCTGTTATATATCTCCTTTGCGATTCACCAAATGCAACTGGGTCAGAATACAGTTTTATGTTGCAGTCAGTGATGCATTCCGAATGCATGTCCACTCTTGCCTTTAAATATTTCTGTACTTTACAATTGTACATGAATATTTATGCAATAAAATAGAACATATTTTTCATGTTATTTTCTAATTTTGATAATGTGTATGGCTGGAATTATATTTTAATATGTGCAGAATTTGAGTTCAAAATATCCACTCTGTGGATGGAGCATTTGCAACGACTCGCGCTGAATGATGCGCAAGGCAAAATAAATGCGAGAAAGACAAATAAACCAGCTTGCTAAACTATGATCTGTGATGAGAGTTAGGCAACGCAAGTGATATTTGCCTTTACGCACCAATGAAATTTGAAATTGATGTCGGCGTGCGCTTTGCCACGCGATTCAAGCCTTTGGCACATGTGCTTTATTAATTAACCTGAGCACACTTCTGTGGTGCATGCTGCAAGGCACACATGCAGCACAAAGTAAGAAGATCCTACTTAACATCTAGGTGAATGTAGTCGGGAAGACATTTGGAGTTTAGCTGAGTCGTTGGTGGCGCAGCACTAGATTTGCTTTGAATCAAGCGATGCACACATGCTCATTCACAAACACACGCCCATAAGTTGCTAGTATTGGTTTTTGAAAGTTTATTTTTAAAAAATAATAAACTACTAAACTGACAAAAAATACGTGTAGCTTTTGGTGAAGCGGAAAGTTATGTGCTGCTAATGCACAAGCTTTAATTTGTATGGTAAATATCTCGGTGACGCCCAGGGCTCTGCAAGGACAGTCTAACAATGTAGTCTTCCGTCCTCATATTCGATGTCACATTATATTAAAGGACATCCACAAATCTTTGTAGGCACTCCTGAAAATTTGGGTTGGGTTAGCAATGTCTGAGGTTCTTCAGTTAAAACATCTTCTGGTACGGCTGTGATGTTTTTTTGTTTACAACTGTGCTCTGAAGTTCGAAATGCTTGTTGGCTGTTGTTGGCCTGGCTTTTAGAGGCAAATAAATCTGTGTTATACGATGTTTGATGTACGTATTTATATAATCTGTGCTGTTGTGATTTGCCATTGCTTCTCTTTAAGGTCGGCTTGTTCGTCTTATTTATAACCATTTGCTACTGCGTTCTGTGATCGTGTGCGAATGATGACCACTGAATCTCGCAGTTGTATTTCTATAGTAGTTCATACATTTTTGAAAATACCAACCATGTAGCAATTCGAAATTTTTTTTATCACATTTTGTGTGCCTTTAAAAAAATATTTTCTGCATCTTTCTGTGTACGCTTTTAACATTTTGCTTTGCATGTTTCTTTTATTTTTTGTTTCCTTTTCTTCCATTCTGTTGCTGTCGTGTCTCAACTTGCCCCATTTTTCATTGGGCAGCAGCGTAAACCAGTTTATAATGAAAGACAAAATACGAATCGTACCTTCTGAGTTTTGTTCAGACGGTAAGAAAGGAAAAGAGGACTATGACACCCAGGGTAGGTATATGATAGAGCAATTTCTACAAGAGAGAAGTATCACGAAAGACAATTTTACGGAATTAGAAAATCTACGAAATGATGGCGGTGTCTTGGACCATGACACACTGCCACTTGAACGGTCAAATTATGAAAATAACTACAAAAAAGCACAATCTGTGCATCATGAGATGATTCCAAACATGTCAAAGAATGTCAACTCGGATGCTTATTCATTGGGAGTCTATCCACAGAGGTACAATACTCTACCCAGATCAAGACAGAAGCATGACAAGCATCAACTACACAAAGCGGCAGTGCCCGAGAATAAAACATCGTCTGTATCTACCAAGGGATATCAGCACGATTCTGACATGCTCAAATCGACAGACTCCTATGTAGATGATAAACAAACTTCTCCTCGCAAAAGCAAACCCATAGTTGTTGATGCAATTGATCTTTGCTCTATTGGGGACTCCCTGACAGATTGGTTGGACGATGATATCAATAGCCCAGAAAGTGTGGGGAGTCCAGAAAACATCCACCTCAGAGTAATTCCTGGAGAAACAGCAGAAGACCAATTAAATAATTACTTTGTTTGTCTCCAAGATAATCAGTACTACATTCAAGAATTTGAGTTCATAGAGGAAGATGATGTTGTGGAAGACATTTATGTTGAAAATGAAGCTGCCCTTGAAATTGTTGACCATGAATATTTTAAAGACGAAGAATCAAATGTACAGTATATCGACGCTACGGACGAACTCCAGTGTCTGTTTGATACTGTTTCTGAATATTTGGTGGAAAAGCAAGAGGAATTCAACAAGTTCACCTCTCTCTCCGATTGTGGTTCTGATGAAAAGGTTCAAAAAAGTCCGCAGGATATCCAGTGTTCAAATGAGCGCCAGCACACGGTGCCAGAACAGTTGGCCAAGGATGCATCACAGGAGGATTCTGTGCAGCAGCCACACTCGCAGACAGCCGAGCAATTACCAACAAGTAGTGCGCCTCTGGAAACTAGCGAAAGTTCAGTGTCACTCACAAATCTGGGCAATATGAAAGAGGCCTTCTCCTCGCTAATGGATTCCCTTGAAAAGAAAATTTTGAATAAAGACGCACAAATCGTTGCCAAAAATGTCGAGGCAAGCGCGAATGAGCACGACAAAGGCGGGACTGCTACACCCAGTTTACCTTGCAGCAGCAGTCCGTCCCTCCCACCAAATGAAGAAGACAATGCAAAGGAGAGAAATGTTCTGTCAAGATTATTCAAAGCCTCGTTTTTATCATCATCTGTGAGCCAGAAAACAAACTTTCCCGCTCATGACAAGCCTGAATTGATTGCACAGAGCCAAGCTGCACTGGACAGAACTGATATTGAGCCTAAACACACACGGATAAGTGGAGAGGAGGTGCATGTAGACATTTTGGCCGGTCAAATAAGTGATGCGTCTTTACAGCAAGACAATAATACGTTAGTTGAACGTGAAATGACGAGCAGTAGTGATATAGTGTCACGAAGTATCGGTGACACTGATGGGATTTCACATTTGGAAATGCAACCAGCCAAACCACTTGTTAAGCACGCATCAGAAGTGGCCACAGAACAGACAAGGGATGAATCCGCTGATCAAAGCAAAGCCGAATCTATAATGTCTAAAGTATTTAGTATTTCCAAGTCATTCTTTAGCTCAACAGACCTATCAAGAGAGCTGATAGATAATGTTTCACGGCCAGAAGAGAGTGTTCCTAAGCAAATCTGGAGCGGCGATGCAGCGGTTTCCTCCCCCGCAGAAAGTGTCCACACGTCTGAAATAGGAATTGTATCGTCAGGAATGCTCTTTGGGGATTCTGTTCAGGCACTCGGTGACGTTACGAGCGTAGTTGATAGCGCGCCAACATCCGCAAACACCGCTGTGGGGACAAAGACAACGTCGGATGTTTGCAGGTCCACAACTCCGGAATCTTCTCTGGTGGGTTCCTGCTTTCCGGAAGTAATGGAACGCGTTTCAAGAGATGATGCGGAAGTTTACAGCAGAGGATTTAAGCTGCCGTTCGGAAATACACTCTTCTCCGTAAAGCATGCCGATGAAACGAAACCAGCCACAGGGGGTGCTTTTAAGTTTCCCTTTTTCTCATCGACAGAAAACATCAGACAGGCAAAGCCTGAACACATCCCGTCCAGAAGGGCATCTCTGGATGCTGCCTTTCTTTCGTTATCACCTGCAAGCCGGAGTAAAGAGAGAACTGCAGATCCACAGACTGACAAAAAGGACTTGCCTTCTTCCCTTTCATTCGGTTTTCCATTTTTTCTTTCACAAAATAGCACCACTTCTAAGAAGGAAGAGACTGTTCGGGATGTGAGTGTGGAATCTTCAATAAAGATAATTACTTCGAAAGTTGACATAAATTTGGAAGATAGCACCGTAGCCTCCTCCGTTCTTTCCGTAACAAAATCCTCAGAAGCTATGAGCACAACAGGTGGGGTGAAGAAATGCGTTCCTCAAAGGATGAATGATATATTAGTCCACAAAGACGTGAGCAATAGTGGTGTGTGCTTAGCGGAGGATAATGGTTTAATGGACACAAAAACATTCAACAAACTCGGTGATAAAGCTTCCTCATCCTGCATCGCCAAGGGTACTGTAATTGGAGATGGTGCAGATGCTGAAGGTGGAAGCGTCTCGTCACCCAGACTGTGTAATGTTGCCGCCGCACGTGTTGACAATGAAAGAACACAAGCCACACACGAAGGGAGAATCACGTCTTTGCTCTCATCTTCATCACTCTTCTCCAAGCTGCCATTTCTAGGGTCCACGCAGAAGAAAGAATCCACCCACGTGGAGGCAAATGCAGAAGAAGGCAAGCCGTCGTTGGCTTCGCACTTCAAACTTCCATTTTTTCCCCCATCAACGGAGAAGCAATGTCCGGCCACGAATGTGGCAGATGTTGAAGAGCGCAAGCCGTCTATGGTTTCTCGTCTCAGTGTTCCACTTTTTAAACATTCTGATAGCCAGCCAACACCAACTGTGGATGTCAACAAGGAATTTAAACGATCGCTGTTGTCAAGTTTCAAGCTGCCATTTTTTTCTCCATCTGAGAATCCGGATGTGACAGCCACTGACAAAAAGACTCAAGACAGCAATGGGGCAGAACATAGCCATCGCCCCTCATTTAGCTCCCGTAGCAATGTGCAGGATTCACGCAACACTGCAACGCCAAGTCAAGGTGCTTCCTTAGTTAGTACTTCTGAAATAAAACACATTTGCTGTGAAGCCTACTCCTCAATTGAATCAAAGTCA